AAGCTTCTCTCTTTAACTTAGTGAACGAGCCGAACACGAGATTCTTAAAGAGTCGAACACGAGCTGTTCGCGAACAACAAGCTGTTTGACAGCCCTAGTTCTACTAATTTAAGATTGTGAGGACTTGAAGAAATCTTCAATGTAGTTATAGCCCAACCACCAATCTCTTAAACCTCAACACACTGCAGTGTTTATTTTCCCGGAGCTGTCAGCTAAAGTTTTTCTCATGTACTCACCATAATGGCGTTACAACAAATAAATAGAAGAAAATAAGAACATTCACACTTAATATTTATGTAATTCTTATATTAAGTAGTTTATTCAAAATAAATCAGTCTAAGTGTGGAAGCTAGAACACTAAGAAAAATTGAAATATTGTCAGGATAACGCTATCATTGAGATCTTTCTTCATGGATTTGTTGATTGCATTTACTGCAAAACTTGAAGAACAAGATGTAAGGTATGATCTTCTATTAACCATTGCATCTTCCTCCAGCAACATGTATGTCCCACAGCTAGTCATAATTTTATTACTGGCTGTAAGAGGATCCTAAAGTAGTAATATTTCAACGATTAATCGCCAGATTGGTGTTATTTCGTGATTAATCACCGAATCACGGTGTTATTTAGGGTTATTCCACGACAATCTGGTTTTATCGTGGGAGTTTGCACTGTTTTGGCGCAGGTGTTATTAGCGGTAGTATTGCGGGTGTATCATGAGTATATTGCGAGCTTGCGACGGTGTGCAGCGGAGTTACGATGCGGTATAGTGGGTTATGCGAGGCAGCGGAGTTTGGTGTTATCCGCGGTGTTATTTTGTTAGCGTCGTGGTAGTATTGCGCGGTTGCGGCGTGGAAACAAGACAAATTGCAGTGTTTTGTGGTGGCGACATTATTTTGGTGTTATTTGGAATATTCCGACGGTGTTATTTGGGATTGAGACTTCTGAATTGTATTATTGAAATGTTTTTGGCTCGGGTTAGCCCAAATCAGCCCAAAGCTAGCCTAAACCCTTTTCCCACTTCAATTTTACCCCTAAGCACATGGCATAAGACAATTGATGGTTTGTTGCTTGCCAATTTGAGAATTTGAGTGTGATTTGGCAATTTTGAATCAAGGCTTGGAATTTAATGGAGACAAACTTAATGTTGAGTGTGGAAATGTAAATTTAACATAATTTTTTTTAACCATTTTTAATTCTCAATCCAATGTCAAAATTTTTTTAAAGAAATTTAAATTTATAAATTATATTAAGTTATACTTATAGCTATAGATTCAACCATCTTTTAAGTCATATTAATATAAGCTTAGTTATGCTAAGGAAGCTGAATCATTTCCATGCTCATTGCTCACATTACGAAGCTCTCTTTTCCATAACGGTAGGATGTTAAGTCTCTCTTATGATGTAGAACCAAAAAAAGTTATAATATGTAGCACTTATATTGCTAGGAGTACGAGTCATATTAGTTTGCTATTCATGATCGATTCCTCACCATCATTGGAGCAGGAATCAGCACTACCTTAATTCTTCTCTCCCACATAATTTGCACTTTCTCGGTCTTCACCATCATTAGCTTTGTCCCAAGTATTTTGTATTGGCTTTACATAACCATCAGTTTTTTCATTCTCTTTTAATAAGTGCGGCCTGAAGGATCAAATCTATTTTTTTTTTTCAAATCATTTTCAAAAATTTGTAATCATATTATTTTTGGTTTACTCATCTTTTCTGATCCAGACACAAAATTTGTTTTTCTACTTGACCCTGTAACACTGATTTTGTCTTACTGTTCAAGTCTTTATGAGTTTTCTGCAAAAAATGATATTTGATCTTTTGGATACGGTGGGTCCTTTAATTCATCTTGTTCCATGGTTCTGAGTCGTTATTTTTTTGGGTTTTGAGACAAAACTCACTTAATGTGCGTATTGTGCTAAATTTTTTGTTTTTTTATATCTGCAAAAATGTAATTCAACTTTTTGGATCTGGTGATGCATTTAATTCATCATGCTCCTTGGTCGCGGGCCATCATTGTTTTGGATCTTGAACCAAATTTTAGATGATGTTCGTATTTTGATAAATTGTATGTTCTTTTTTTTGCCAAAACCTTGTAAGATGTTTACTTTGTTCTCGTGGTATGAAATATGACTTTTTTGTGGTATTTTCTTGCCTTTCCATGATGATTTTTCTTGGAATCCTGAGCATTGCTATGCAGCTTTTCTCTTATACATATATAAGTTTACTCAACTGTGCATTCCCACTTGCTGTCATTGTTATAACTTCATTTTTCCTTTGAAAGAACTGGTATTGATATTTTGTTACTCTAGGTTTTACTTTGACACTCTGCAGCCTCTTATATATTTGATCTCATAAACATAAACACATGCTTCTATATTATTCGTACAGCGTAATGTCATTTATTCTGTAGTACTTCTTTCTACAGCATGATCAGGGTCTGAAGCTTTTGAACATTCTTACGAAATATTATGAAGGTAATGGTGATTTCTCTTTTTATATATTCTTTAATCTTGCTATGAAAAAAATACTAATTTTATTGATCTAATCATAAGTCATGCGTTGTTTTATGCATGCCTTTCGAAATATAATGAACTAATTGGAGCTTGCAATAAGCGTCTTCCATTTTTCATTAATCTAAATGCTAGATTTTTGTGCAGCTTTTACTTCATTTATTGAGGGTAAAAATGAGGAATTATTAATAGGGGAGCTTTCTGGGGTGGCATGGACTCATTATATTTTCCAGTCAATTTTTGTGAAGAGTTTAGAGGTTGGACTTGCTTCTAGACCATGCAAAAGTGCTAATCATATTTAGATTCTTGCATTGTATATAATGCTGCATTAATATTTGTTTCATACAATTTTCTTTGCATTTAATGTTTAACCTGAATGCTTTATTTTCTAGTTAAATGGGCTCTTCAATAATTTAATTTCATTGGCAATTTACTTTTGAAAAAACTATGAAGACAAGGTGGTAATTTCCATTTTAAATTTCCATTTTACTTGCATTTTACTTGCAGGAAGTTGATCCTTGTGAGGATGTTAGTGACGAGGACATTCGTATGACCAGTCAGAATGCTACTGGTCCTAAAGGTGCTTTGCTTGTACCTGAGGTAATTACAAGTGAATCCGTTTCTGAAACTAGAATGAAGAGACTGAATTGTTTTTTGTTCTCTTTCATTTCAAATCTTCTAAAGAGAAGCGTTTACCCCAATTGTGAATCTGATTAGGTGCCTTTTGAAGTTCTTGTAAGAGGGCAGATTGGTCGTTTACTCGATCTAAGCCTTCGGTGTGCCAAGTTCATCTATGATAAATTGATTAAGGAATGTTACAATGCATCCAACATTTGTATATAAGAAGAATCAATAGTTTACAAAGAAATAGTGAAATTCATCTGTTTCTTTGTTCTGCTATTAGATGAGCAATTGCAGCTTAGCTAATTAGCTCCATCAATATCCTTTTCTGCGGAAGTGCATGGATGAGGTAATTGGAAATTTCTTACGAGAAGGACTTCAACAAGCAGAAACCATGATAACCCATCTGATTGAAACGGAGGTATTGGATTAATTGATTAATTTATCAGTGTTAATTGTTAATATGTTGTGATAAGATTGCATTTGCTTTAATTGCCTTCAAGAAAAGAACTTGATCATTTAATTTAACAAATATATACTATCAAGTTTATACATCAGTAGTAATTGTATGCATTTCAGACTTAAATTGCTGTTGTACTTGCATCCGATTTCACAATCTCTACTGTTGAATATTTCAACATTTAAAATTTGGGAGATTTACATACCACACAACTCTTATGTATTTACATATACCTGAATTTGGATAACACTTTCATGTTATAAACCTATGCATGAAAAGGTGTATTTCACTTTGAAGAAGGTAGTAATTGGGGTATTTTTTATGTGATGTTAAAGATTTGAGTGGTATGTATGTAAATATGTAGGAATTGTGTGGTGTGAATGTAAATGCCTCTTATTGATTTTAGAAACTTCTCTCCATGTTGCCATTTTGATATGCAATTTTTTGCAGATGGATTATATAAACATTTCACATCCAAATTTTATTGGAGAAAAGAAAGCTGTGGAGATTGCACAACAAGAAGTCAAAGCTTAAATGTTAGCAGCATCAGTTTCCAGACCCAAGGTACCTGTTATCTCATTAATCTATCTTAATAATTTCTAGTTTTGGAAGCTAGCACATAACTAGCAATATGAGCTCCATCCTGTTTTTCTTTCTCACTCTTGATGAAAATACTTTTTAGAACTAGTAGATATAATGCTTAGTTTAATACTACTTCGTTGCTATTTCTTTGAAAAGCTGATTCAAGAGCTCTCAAGAATCAAAACTATATCCGACAAGGTGAAAACTTTGTGGATATTTTTGCCAAATCTTTGTAATGTCTGCAAGAAATCATTTTGATGTCAGGTTTCTTTTATTGTAGCTGTTAGTGTCACCTTATCAATGTTTTGCAGTAGAGATCATCTCGAGTTTAGCATAGTAGATAAACTTGCCTTGCATGATTCATCATCAACATTGGCCTTGTCCCATTTTTTTTTTGGCCGGCTTACTTGAGGTGTTAACTATTCTTCCTACATCTTTTTGAACAACTTCTATTGATGCTATCTTAGGTCTATATTTTTCCCCTTTCTAATCATTTATTGAGTTGGTATTTTCTTATAACTTGTTGCATATGTCAAATATAATTATATTTTCAATTAC